GCGTCTACAGAATCACGGCCACCCATGAGCGAGGCCGAAATCCTCGAAAGTGGTGACATCTGTCTTTTACTACAACACTGGATTTGGTCTGATGTTTGCAGTACTCTGGCTACAAGTGAAAGTGAAAGTAAAGCAGAAATCAGCTAACGAAAGTTACTTGATTTCGAATTTCGAATGAACCACGGAGCATACATATCGACTTGCAGGAGTCAAAAGACAGTAGAGTGTATAACACGCGAACTCTGCGGAGATCAATCTTCCCAGAAAACATTCCCGCCGATAAAAACTTCAGCATGTTTATCGAAACAAGATTGCAGATCACCTGACACACACCGACACGTGCGTTTTTGCTCTCCTCACCATACATTTTGAACGAGTCTAATGCAGTGGAATGCATCGCGACCTGCTTAAACTTCGGCACCATTCTTTGGATGGATGCCACAGGTCATGTGAATTGACAACTTCAGAATAGGAGGCTAATTGCCTAAATATGGGTATCGATGTCATGGGGTTCTTTAAATTGTCATTTTAAGTATTTATTCAGTTCCGCGATAATAGCCATATGGACGTCTAATATGCCTAGTCCGTCAAATGTACACTTTCGATTACTTATCATCAGGCCTGTACAGCAATTAGAGGAAGGGCAGAATAACAAAAGTGAGACATCCACTAAAAGTCAATATGGGGGGAGTGTTGAGGGGAGTTCGGAAGTGAGTGGTCAGATTGAACCCGGAAGGTAGGCCGTCGTTACCAAAATTATGCTTCGTATGCCTCACAGCATGTTGGGAGGAGGGAAGGCGGCGAGTGCGTGCTGGATTTGCGATGCATCCTCTGCACTGTCTTCTCCCTCATCCTCCTGGGTCCGATGCGATGACAGAGTCAAGATGACCGAAGGCGGGATCGGGTGCGAGTGGCTGGCGCGGCGTGAACCCGCGCCCAGGCGTGCCACCACACCTCCCACCTACGGCACTCAATGTGGATGTACAGCCCAAATACGCACGTCAGGCTCTGATATGGTTCCGTTGTTGGTTCAGTCCATCTGCCGCGCGTTCCGTTTCGTGGCTGTCTAAAACACTCTTTTGTCTGCACATCGCTTTTTCGATGGCAACTCTCTAATGCTAGGCCTCAGGTTCATGCAAATTCAAGCGATGCGTCAGCAGATGCTCAGATAAATATATGGCAGTGGAAAAAGACGTCCTTCCATAACGCAGTGTGCGATTGCGATAACGAAGCGTGCGCTTCTGAACCACACTGTTACTTTTGTTCACACCGTGCAAACGGACGGAAAATTTCGCAGCTGTTTTCACAGAGATTGCGC